GATTCTCTACAACTTTTCCATTGACACTAAAATGGGTTTTTTTTTGAAGAAAGTGCTCAAACTGTTACATATGACGATAGCCCGCAGTTTTCAATTCACCAATCCAATAAAACCTTCTAATAACTGCATTTAGATATCCACAACAGAAAAAACCCAATTATCTTTAGCCTTTCGTTAACAGCTTAGCCAGTTTTTTCTTTTCGATAATTGGCTTTTGTGAAAGATGACAATCAAATGAATTCTCATTTGCAACTTTTCTGAGCTGCTAGATTGATTGACATTTTCCATGATTGCAATAGAAGATTTGCCGTTTTTCTGGAATTCTTTGAGCTTTTCTAATTTGCATTTTGATATACCACAGCTTAAGAATTGTCCTTTCTTTTGAAATCGCAAGTAAACTGTATTCTCAAGCACAAATTCAAAACTTCCTTATCCTGATTTCACCGAAAATTCAGCTCAATTTTTAACCAACTCTCAGCCAGCCCTCTCGAATCTTTTCTCAAAACTAAAGTTGTTCAAAAGTTGAAGTGTTCTCCAAGTATTGTTATTGACTTGTAAGGAAAATTTTCCAGAGAAGAATGCAAAAAAAAGAGAGCGTCAAGTTGGCGCCTTTCCATTCTTTTCACATTCTTCTGTTCACGAGTTTGTCATGCTGTTTTTCTAGACTAAGCCCGATACACTACCAAAGTAAAAAGACAAGAAAGTGTAAAAAACTTAAAGAGAAAACATTCTTAAAATCCGGTTTTCTTGGATAGCATTAATGCCACCAAAGAAGGCAAATATAATCGAAATAAAGGAAAAGAAAGAGAAAGAAAAGGAGAAGTGATATCAAAAGAAAAGAGGAAACGATATAATTTGCGGGTTTCTCTTTCTCTTTTATTCAAATACTTGAATGGTGATTTCACTTGAAATGCTCTTTCTCTTGTCTTTAGATGATAGAGGCTATGAACCATTTTGAGAAGCACAGCAGGTGGCAATATTCAATTTGCCTCCAGTGCTTAGAAAGGACAATGACATTTAGATTTTCGATTTTGATTATAGACTTTTTGGTAGTAGGAAATTCGTTAAGTGGACGGAAGTTACCTTAAAAAACGTGCGCTAAAATGCGCTAAAACTATCGTAGTTTCAGCACTGTTTAAAGAACATACATATGTATATAAAGAAGTCTATATAAAGTCTATATAAAGACGCCATTTTCCCACATTCTAATACTTTTTTCCTTCTCTCTCTCTGCTTTTCTTTCTCTTATTTATGTTTGTATAAAACTGTTAGTCGTTTTTTTTTTGTTTTATTAATTATTAAAAATAAAATTGTTCTATTTTAAGTATTAAAGCATAGGAACTTGAAGGCGTGTGCTAAAATGCGTTAAAACGATCGTAGTTTCAACACTGTTTAAAGGATTTAAAGGTGTGCAAAGTCTCAATACAAACTAAGCAAATTCAAAATGAAATAGTTCGTAAATTGACTGTAACTTTGCCAAATTTTGCCAAACCAAGCCAAAGATTGTCTCATTTAGCTGGGTTTTGATTTTAAAAAGTTTATAAAAAGTTTCACGAATCCGTAGCTGAAAAGATCAGGTGCCAGATTTACCAGTGTACGATTTCACTAAGCCGTCTCTTGACCTCACTTGGATTACAATTAACCCTATATTCTGACCTTACATTTGATATTCTAGAATCTAGTATTCTTCTAATATTCTAGAATCTAGTATTTCTTCTAGGTATTCTAAAAGCTAGTGTTTCTTCTAGATATTCTAGAACCTAGTATTTCTTCGAGATATTCTAGAGTCTAGTATTTCTTCTAGAGATTCTAGAACTAGTATTCTTCTAATATTCTAGAGTCTAGTATTTCTTCTAGATATTCTAAAATCTAGTATTTCTTCTACTACTCTAGAGTCTAGTATTCAGCATTACAACTCCAGCCTGTTAGTTTTACATTTCCACAGTAGAAGTTCAAAAACACTTATCCTAATAAAACGGTAACCAACCAATATGTCTTTTCCGAGCTTTGACATTCATTCACTCCATCAATACCGAAAACCCTTTGACTCACTTCCTCGTCACTCTCCAATTCACCAAGAAAATATTTTGATTGACCCTTCTTGCATATACTTTTTTAAGTAATGGCAAAAAAAAGATGAGTGCCGTTTTGTGGAAAAGACCGGTTCGGATCTCTCGATCTTTCCCCATTTCCCCCAATCGGTTTCCCCTTTGAAATGGGTTTTCGAATATGACTTCCAATCGTTTTCCAGTAAATTTTCAAACCGTAAAAAACCCATAAAAGTGAATGAAAGTTTTCACCCAAACAATTCAATGACTGATCAACCGCGAACAGAATCTTTTTGGTCAAACTTTCTACCATACTTGTTCTCACATCGAAATTTCTCAGTTCTCAGGCCTATCTTTAGGCCACTTTATGCCTGACCCATCTCGAAAAAGTATGCTCCCATCTGGTCGTAAATATTCGGGTCAAATATATCCAGTCTTCAAGGTCGACAGTGATCACTCTCGTTTTGTGCCCATTTTCCCGATTTCAAAGAAATTCTTTTTGCTCACTTGCATATTCAAGCATGCATATCCTACACATTTTCTGTTTTTTCTTTCGTCTGTTTGTCTGTTTTTTTGTTTTTCTCTTCTCTTTCAATGTTTGTTGACAGTTATCGTTTCCCTCGTTTATCGCCTTCCTTCCGATTCAATTTTACGGTGATCTGGAATGTGATTTAACTAGAAAAGTAAGAATTTGATTTAACTAGAAATGTGATTTAACTATAAAACTAAGAATTTAAAGCTTTATTTGCTAACTAAAGCAAAAACAGAGTTTTACAGGAAGTGCAAATCTAGAAAAGTATCCAGATTCATATTTCGAAAGGAATTTAAATTCAAAATATTCAAACAGGGGAAATCTCACAGATAACATAACTCTAAATGTAAATTTCCAAATTAATTGATCATTTCCCTTTTTCTTCACTTGTTTCTTAATTTATTAAAGTTTTTAACATGTTAAAAGTCTAGAAAATACTTGAATACTCTATGAAAACACAACTAATCAAAAAGCAGAATAAACAGAACAACAGAACAATTAACTAAATGCATTTCTTGAAGAGATTACATTTACATCGATTAAATTCAGCAATCAAATTCAAAGACTACTTCTAATCTGTAAACTAGCCAATTTATCGTTTCCCTCGTTTATCCCTTTCCTTCCGATTGGATTTTACGGTGATCTGGAATGTGATTTAACTATAAAAGCAAGAATTTAAAGCTTTATTTGCTAACTAAAGCAAAAAAAAAAGAGTTTTACAGGAAGTGAAAATCTAGAAAAGTATCCAGATTCATATTTCGAAAAGAAGGCGATAAAAATATTCAAACAGACAACAACGGGAAATCTCACAGATAACATTGATCCATTGATTATTGAGTCATTACTTTTTTTTTTAAAGTTCTCTTATCACTTCAATCACTAATCGAAAGTTATTGTCTCTCAATTGAATGATCGAAATTTTGTGCTTGCCTCGACCTTGAAGTCGATTTTGTGTAAAAGAGGTGAGACCGCACCCAAATCTCTTTTAAAATTCTTTTCAACTATTAAAACATTTGAATTTTTTTCATTTAAGCTTGTTATTTTATTATTTATATCCTCTTTAGCTTTAGTTTAAAGAAGCGAATATGAATTTTAATCATATTTCAGTAAATTTTCAAATCATTTAAAAGAAATTTGTTGTCAAGAAGTGAAAGCTTTGCTATACAACTATAGAATTTTACTATAATCTTTCAATTGATCTTTAGAAACTGAAAAGCTTCAATTACTTCAAGTAATTGAAGTAATTGAAGCTCTTCAGTTTCTAAAGATCGTTTAACTCTTCTTCCACTTCTAACTTGATCAACATCATTTTTAGCCCAGATTTTGAGAGTGAACTAGAACTCTCGCATTGCTGATCACTTGAAAAATGATTCATTTGAGAAAGTTGATGATTGGATTTGTTTCCAGTTGAGCTCTTTCAAGATCTACGTTTAACTCTTCTTCCATTTCTTCTTTCGTTTCTTCCTTCCATCTCTTTTTCTTTCCATTTCCGAGATTCCATCGCTTTTCCCCTTACCACCTTGTATCTTTTGTGATTTTTCTCTCAATGTCAGCTGATCGTTTTCCTTTTCCTTTTCTTTTCTCTTTCAATTCTCGTTTGATCGTTCTCTACCATTTACCTAAATTTTTCTATTTTTATAGATTTTTCTAACTCTCTATTTTTTTGAATCTTTTTTTTTGAAATTCTTTACATTCCACATCTATCATCACCTTGTAAATTTCCAAATTAGTTGATCATTTCCCTTTTTTTTCACTTGTTTCTTAATTTATTGAACTTTTTAACATGTTAAAAGTCTAGAAAATACTTGAATACTCTTTGAAAACATAACTAATCAAAAAGCAGAATAAACAGAACAATTAACTAAATGCATTTCTTGAAGAGATTACGCAACTTAACGCTTTTCCGCAGTTTTTGCCTCTTATCCCAAATTTGACGTGTCAGCGAGTTCTAATTTGTCGAAATTCGGAATCTACGCATATGATTCCCCTATGTGGAAACATTTTTAAAGCTCTACGGCCTTTTCTAAGGCCTTTTCCAGCGAAAAAAAAGGTGCGCTTTTGGTCGGGTGCGCAAAAAAAAAGTGCACCTTTGTCCCACCCCCGAGATTACATTTACATCGATTAAATTCAGCAATCGAATTCAAAGACTACTTCTAATCTATTAAAATAGCCAACTTTTCATTTTCTAATAACATTTTTTTCGATTTAAACAAAAAAAACTAGATGCACTTCTGATTTTTGCACCCTTGTCCCTCGATACGTTGCTCATTATTTTCTATGCACGTTGATGCTAATCCTCACCCAGTAAAGAGGGGATAAATTTCAAATAGTCGAAAAATTTCTGTGTTGGCACCTACAATCAACAAATATTTTCTAACTAAAACTAGTCTGAATTATTTGGATTATTGCGAAAACTCGAAATGTCAGTCGCTGAAGAAGAGATGCCGCCTTTTGTTGAATCTGTTGCAGAAGCTGTTACTCCTTTGGAAGTCACGACTGATGAATCTCCACAATTGACAAGGAGAAAAGTCGTGGAAGCGCTGAAACTTGATTTGGATGAATTGAGAGAAGCTCAACCGGAAGTTCACGTACCGATTCCAAATGGGATTCCACCATCGGAGCCTGGGACGACTCCATATGGAACACTGAGCAGAAGTCAGAGTAGAAGGGGATCTTATTTATTTGGTAAGCACGTTAATAGGAGATTTTATTGGTATCTTGCACTACTGACTAGCATTCGCATCGTGAACACTGTCAGCTTGCTTGCGCTGATGCAAAATTAGTCCAGTCAGCTGGAATTTTAAAGTTTGCCCATGTCCTTGTCATTTTTTGTGCTTTTCTCAATTCTCAAGCTAGAATCCCAAGCATTTCACAATTCAAATCATACTTTTGCCCAAACTTGTTACCGTAAATCTACTATATATATAAAAGATCAGTGTCTGTCCGTCTATACGAGCATTTTCTAGGTATACAGCCTGTAGGTTATACAGGCTCAAGGAAATTAGTACTGAATTAGCACAGGATCTGTATTAATACAGGCTGTAGCTGTAGGGGTACAAGCCGTTTTCAACACTTTTTCACATTTCAGTTTCAATTTCAAATATTTTCGGAGGTCGCCTTTCGGGTCCTCCCTCCAAGATCCCGGGGTGTTGCCATCCGTGACCTTGCCAAAAATCACCCCACATACAGTGTATTATCCCAATTCACGGAATTTCACCGGAAGAGGGCGAACACTGATGTTTTAACAAATAAAGCTAAAAGTTCTTTAGAAAACCTTAGAATTAACTGTGATGTGCCATTTTAAAAAAATTTTGAGAAATTGAAAGTTAGGGGGAACACCCGGGAACCGAACCCGGGTGGTCTGACCTGTAGCCAGGCACGCTTCCTACTGTGCCAGAGCGACCACAACCCCAGCCAGAAAAACCCGGTGTTAGTCGACACCGGGTGTTCGGCTGGGGCTCTAATACAACGCCACCCCCATAATGGGCTTACAGTCTAACTTTGGGCCTCCTGTTCTCTGCGCTGCTTTAAGCTACAGTGTGTGCTTTGGGGTCAAATGATAGCCCTTAAAATCTAGTATTTTTTGGTACCAAAAGTGTAGTTGGAAAAAATCTAGGGGCTGAGAAAAAGATGATTTTCTAAAAAGAAGTTAGACGATGCGGGAAGAAGGCGTTCTATTAGAGGATTTACGTACTCTTGTCCTCAAAACTTACTCATCTCTCCAATTTTATCGATCACCTCTTGTTTATTGCATTTCCAATGTTTTTCTGTTCAATTTTTCTCAGGATCACCCCGTGGTTGCATCCCATTTTTCTCCCAAAAAAAAAACTCGAATTCCTTTCACCGGAGCGTTGAGTTTTGCGTTTTTTTTTGCGCTAAAATGTAACAGATTTTTTTCGGTTTAGTTTCTCAATTGCTGATGATAAGTTGGCTGAATAACTTTTTCGAAAGTTGATTGAAAAATATAAATCTGAGATTTAGCTAGACTTGATTCAACTCACAAATAGTTTTCGCTTAATTCCCTACCATATTCTTGCTCATTTTTCTATATCGATCAATTCCTTGGTTTATAATTATATAACTTTGCAAAGAGTTTAATCAAAGCTATTAATTTTCAGCTCTTGGCATGACAGCCGGAGACGATATTGCAGCTACTTTCACAGAGGAACCATTTCGACACAATGCGCAGAAATATCAATGTTGTTTTCATCAGATTCATTGCAAGGCAAGGGAAATTTAACAGCTTTCTTGCTTTCTTGACAACTTCAAATGACTTTCAATCATTTCCAGCAAGGAGCTCGCTACATTCTCTTGATCGGAATCATTGCCATTATTGTCAATATTTTCTCGATGATTTTCGTTCATCCATCTTTTGAATTACTAGGATTTCAAGGGGTTTATCAGATCAAAGAAAACTCATTTAAATTTTACAGATTCTTTTTATTTTTGCTGTGATCGCGTACGTGTTTCTATTTTTGGCGATGAAGAAAGAGAATGAGATCTTCTTGTGGCCAATTATCATTTTCTTGGTTTGTTTTCCGGCAACGAATCTAACTGGCATAGCCAGCAGTTTTAGGTGTTTGATTTTTTGATCTTCATCGCTATTTTGGTCATCGCAATCTGGACTTTAATTGATCCCAAAGCAATGTTAGCTGAAGAGATGAATCATTTGGCTTTCATGCGAGGGAATCAAACAGATTTAGCTGATCACGGATTAGAGGAGAACAAACAAGGTAAAGAGCTTGATTTTGAAATAATTAATAGAGAAATCATCGTGATCTAGTTTCAGTTCAAACAAGAGTGTTCACGGAAACGCCAGAACAAGGTTTTCATAGTCGTTGTGTGCAGAAATAGAATGTCTATGTTAGCATTAGTGTCTGTTAAAGATGACAAAGAACTGATGCTATGCTATGCGACCTATACCATTCGCAGAATTTTATGCTGATTCCGAATATGTATCGTTTTTGCTAACTAACTACTAGGAGATACAAGGGTCTAAAGTTTTGTTAGTTATCTGAAAATCTGGTCATTTGGATCATCTGAAAATGTGGTCATTCGGATCTTAACAGCCTCCTTGCCGCTTTCACTCAGTGCAGCCGTGCCCGAATGGTAGATCATTCGTTTCCAAAGCGAGACCTCGCGAGTTCGGTCCCGTCTTTGGACTTATTGTGTTTTGGACCCCAGTGTAGGGCCTTATGCCTTAGTCTATCTCCAATAGTATCCAGAAAAAAAATCCATCAGTCTTATCAAGAATTCTTTCAGAGATCGAGATCGCCTCGTCAGCTTTGGTGGCCGTGTCAGCTTTGGGAATCGCAATTTGTCTATGGTTCCTATTCACGATTGTCAAATATTACCTCTACTTGAGAGATATGAAAAGAGCACGTCATCCACAAACAATTGTCTATCATGGAGATTTCAAGAATGTAAAAGTGACTGAATTGACTCAATAAGTACTTTATTAAGTCAAAACTTTTGTTCTTTAACCTCATGCCTATCTATGAACAAATTTTTTGACAAACTTATTTGAAATCCTTTCATTTTTCTACTAAAAAACCCAATTCTCACTTGATCTGTCACTTGTTTTCAATTTTATTCTGACTTTTTGGCATTCTTTTTTGCCATTTTCATCTCTTTACTTTGTCTTTTATGCTTTTAAAGTCAGAATTTTCGAATTTTACTTTCCCAACTCTCAAATAATATATTTTCTGCTCAATTAAAGTAAATATTTAGTTAATAAAAACGAAAAAATATGTTTTCCTTTTGTTTATACATAAATAAAGTTGATAAAGATTGATAAAGATAAAGCAAACTTGTTTCTACACTTCTTATCAGTCAAAATCCTTAGCTTATCTTCTATTATGTTAAATTGTTATATTATGGTTTGCTTATACAGGGTGCGTTATAATTATTGCAACAAGATACTCAAGGCATTGCACACCAAGAAGTTTCACTGGAAGAAGATTTTTAAACAGAAATAGCTTTATTTAACAGTAACAAATAAGGAAACAAGAGATCATTCGATATGACCGCCTTTTGCCTTGATAACAGCCCTTAATCGGTTCGGATATGCCTCCACTGCGGCCCGAATGTCATCTTGAGGAGTCGCCTTCCATCCTTTGGTCAAAGACTTCTTCAAAGAATCCAAACTTGTGTGTTTTCGAGAGCAGACATTAGCCTCTAAGATTGCCCAAATGGAAAAGTCGATCACATTGAGATTCGGTGAGTTTGGAGGCCATTCATCCTTGGTGATCACTGAGGGAAAGTTGGCCACACACCAGTCCTGAACCGTCTTCTTCGTGTGAGCGGGAGGCAATTAGGCAAGAATAAAGAAGATAGAACGCAACACAACAAAAAATGGGGCAAAAAAAATAAGAAAGCTGTTTGGAAAATGGTCTTTGAACTCTTGTTGCAATAATTATGACGCACCCTGTATACTCAAAAAATTCACCAAAACAAACCAAATGTTTATACATAAATAAAAGTTTTTTATAAGCATTCAATCACTTAAAGATCGTCAAATGTTTGAATGGTGAAAGCAAATTCGCGAACGCCGACGAAATCGCGTAAATTGGAAAACTCGTAGTCTTTGACCGAGTCCTTGATTGAGCACACGTACTTCAATTTGATTTTGTGCTCCATTTTCCGCAGCTTCACAAAGATCTGAAGTGAGAGTGGAATTTGGATGATCTTGCAGTCAATTTGCTTGGGTAAACGGTTTGAATATGAGTTTGTGTTGATTATAACTTGATCCTACACTTCTTATCAGTTAAAATCCTTCGCTTATCTTCTATTATGTTAAATATTTATAGTATAGTTTGCTTATATACTCAAAAAATTCACAAAAACAAACCAAAGCTGGTAAATCGTAAATAATCTCCCCATCATCATCAACAACGAATCCATGAGAGCCCTTGATTGGAAGTGAAGGAATCTAAAGCTAATTTGGTGTAACTAAATCAGCTGATTTATCGTAAACTCTTCAATAAAGATACCTTATTCATTGTGAATCCTCCATAACCATCTCTAGCTTCTAAAGGCGGAAAATATGTAGCATTGATCGTATACGTATCGAACATTGTTTTCTAAAACTCAAGCTTTCATAAGGAATGGCAGATTTCCGGAGAGGGGATTGAACCCTCGACTTAAGGGATTGAACCTTGCTTTCCGAATGCTCTAACCACGTCAAACTATCCGTTATCTTTTTGCCAAAGAAAGAAAAAGTACAAGGGGAAGAGAAAGAATCCCCACTCATTATCACCATCACTCACAATTTCACATTTCAATGGAAGTTGTTTCGGTTCGCCCTTCTTTGACCATTCTGGTGTCCAAGCTATTTCCTAGAGTTGAACAATAAACTTTTAAATTCGAATTGAAACTCAAATAAACCAATGATTCTAATATTCCATTAGAGTTGCATCTAATAAATCAATTCTAATAAACTTTACATCTTTAAAAGCAAACAAGAGACACGGTTCCCCAGAATCGAATCCGTAATTGTCTTGGTTTGTGCACTCTTTGTTGAAATTCTTGAAACTTGTTGTTTGTGAGAACCGACACCATTTGTTATCGATCTAAAATTGAACTTTTTGAGGGTTTCACCGAAAAAAGAATCGTTTTAACAGCATTACAGCTAACAGCTTATTCCAGCTAACAGCTAACAGCTAACAGCTAACAGCTCACCTTTCCGTGTTTTGAACAATCAGTCGAATACTTCTGTCGACTCAATTGATCTTTCCAATAAGCTAAAAGCATTATAATTTTGCTTAATAGTAGATTCACTGACTATCCAAGAATTTATCGATCTCATTCACATATTTATTCTTGATCTCTTCATATGCGGAACCTTTTGAAGTCGAATAATAGAAAACACCATGTTTATGCACCCGGAGATCAGGGATGAATTGAAGGCCTGTAAGATTTGAAGATTAGATCTTCTTGCAAATACAATTCAATCAATTCAATCAATACAATCAATACAATCAATACAATTTCTTTTATCTTTAACCAACCGTATTTTGTGTTCGCTTTCTCTTGACTCAATTGCTTGAAAATTTGCGCACCCGAAAGTGTCAAGTAGAGAAAGAAACCGGCAAGAAAAGTGATAATTAGTAAAAATGACACTAAAATTGATATAAATAGAAGAAAATTTCAATTTACTGATAGCTAATCGTCTCTTTCCTGGATCATTAGGTAATCGCAAGAGATCTTTCCAAGTGTGATTCGATTCAGATCTTGAATTTATTGATTTGTTGAGGAATTTATTCGATTTTTGAGCAATTTATTGATTTGTTGAGGAATTTATTCAATTTTTATACTACTAGACTAATATTAGACCTATTTCAAAGGCATTTACTCTTTAAAAATGGAACAACAGCCTTTTTAATCTAATTTCTAATTAATAATCTAAATATTAAACCTATTTCAAAGGCATTTACTCTTTAAAAATGGAACAACAGCCTTTTTAATCTAATTTCTAATTAATAATCTAAATATTAAACCTATTTCAAAGGCATTTACTCTTTAAAAATGGAACAACAGCCTTTTTAATCTAATTTCTAATTAATAATCTAAATATTAAACCTATTTCAGAGGCATTTGTTATTTAAAAATGGAACAACAGTCTTTTTAATCTAATTTCTAATTAATAATCTAAATATTAAACCTATTTCAAAGGCATTTACTCTTTAAAAATGGAACAACAGTCTTTCCAATTTCTTAATTTGACTTATTGAAATGTTTTGATTACAAAAAGAAAACAAAAAGCTTTAGGAAATCTATTAGTAAAATAAAAGAAAGATTTGCTCTTAATCGTCTCTTTCCTGGATCATTAGCTAATCGCAAGAGATCTTTCCAAGTGTGATTCGATTCAGATCTTGAATTTATTGATTTGTTGAGGAATTTATTCAATTTTTGAGCAATTTATTGATTTGTTGAGGAATTTATTCAATTTTTAGACTACTAGACTAATATTAGACCTGTTTCAAATGCATTTATTCTTTAAAAACGGAATAACAGTCTTTCTAATCTAATTTCTAATTAATAATTTAAACATTAGACCTGTTTCAAATGCATTTATTCTTTAAAAATGGAACAACAGCCTTTCTAATTTCTTAAATTGACTTATTGAAATGTTTTTTTTTGATTTTGATTACGAAAAGAAAAGAAAAAGCTTTCTATTAGTAAAAAAGGAAATCTATTAGTAAAATAAAAGAAAGATTTGCTCTTAAAATAGCTCTTCAAATCAAATCCTACTTGTAATAAATAATCGGTGATTTATCGTGAACACTTTGACTATCCATTTGTGATGTTGTACTCTCACTGTAACTTAAAGCATCCGCTTCAAAGACAGCTTGATATCTAAACGAAAATTTATCCTAAAAAAATTGTAAAAGTTTAACTCACCGAACCGACATGAATAGATGAATTTGTTGAGTTGAAAGACACAAGTTTTCTTTTATTTTAATGAAAACAAACGTATTATTTCCCTGAAATTTATGAGAAACTAAGAAAGAAACTCTTTTGAAAATAAGAAAAGGAAAAAAAACAGTTAAAATAAGATTTTTATGACTTTAGAGATTTCAGGAATTGAGAAAATTCAATAAAAATCGTCCTTACGGATCAGAAAAAGATTTTAGAAAACCAATTTCGAAAGATTATTGACTGCCAGCTGGGATTTTAGGTCTAAAAATTGAACAGAGCAATTCGGAAAGAATATCGCTAAAAGTTCATAAAGATTTGTATCATTTTATTTGTCTTAAAGGCTTTAAGAAAACTAATTCTTTAGGAGTTCAACTGATCAAATTTCTGATATATAAAATCAAATCTGAAAGCGTGTCGCTGAAAGAAAATCGAAATGAGTTCTCTTTTCTTATTCCCAGTCTCTTCATTCTATTCATGGATTGAGCTTATCGATGAGCTGTTGATAAAACCGGATGGGCGAGTCTCTCTTTTGCAAGATATTTCCAGAAAATCGAACTCTTCCAATGAAAACGATCAAGCTATTTGAAATTTGATAGCAAAACATTGACTAAAAACCTCTACGAGTTGATCTGAATATTGATACTTTAAGACTTGTGATGATTTAAGGATCAGATGAGGACTGGAGGATCAGATGAGAACTGGAGGATCAGATGTGGATCAGATGAGGATCAGATGAGAACTGGAGGATCAGATGTGGATCAGATGAGGATCAGATGAGAACTGGAGGATCAGATGTGGATCAGATGAGGATCAGATGAGGATCTGGAGGATCAGATGTGGATCAGATGAGGATCAGATGAGAACTGGAGGATCAGATGTGGATCAGATGAGGATCAGGTGAGAACTGGAGGATCAGATGTGGATCAGATGAGGATCAGATGAGAACTGGAGGATCAGATGTGGATCAGATGAGGATCAGATGATGATTGGAGGATTAGATGAGGATCAGATGATGATTGGAGGATCAGATGATGATTGGAGGATCAGATACGGATCAAATGATGATTGGAGGATTAGATGAGGACCAGATGGTGATTGGAGGATCAGATGAGGATCAGATGTGGATCAGATGAAGATCAGATGATGATTGGTGGATCAGATGAGGATCAGATGATGATGACTTAAAGATGATTTAAGAATATTGATACTTTAAGATTTTTGTGTTTCTTTTTGGACAATATTTAAACCAATTTATTTATTGATAAACTGTATGCAACTTCTCGAAATCATCTCGAAAACTTTTTGAAATAGGCCCGGAAAAGCGTTTCATGTTCAAAGATAAACGATATTTCTCATAATCAAAAGCCAATCCAATCCAAACAATACAATTACCTGTTTCATTTTGAAAGCTGAAAAAAGAATTCTGATCATAAGGGATTTGTAAATATTTTGGAGAGAAAAGGATAGAAGATTTTTGTAGACGATTATCAATGATTTTTTGGAAATTTTCAAGGTAGGTAGGGTAATTTTTCTCAGGAAGGCAAATGATTGAAGGCATTGCAGCGATTTGTTGAATGATCAATCGATATCGCTCATTTAATTCAGATAAAACAGCACCCCATTGATATCTGTAAAATAGTAAAAGTTTTTAAACGATTTTTAAATGAATCATCTGGAATAGATTGTACTCTTATCGCATTTTATAAGCTGAAAACTTCCAATAGATTTTGCCAAACTACAGTTTTTACAATTTTTTCAAGCTCAAGTGGAATAAATCAAATTTGAAATGATTTTAAAGAAAAAGAATTTCTTTCCTAGCTTACTTATAAGTAGAAGTATTAGGTGTGTGAAAAAGTAATCCACGTTTTTTATTTTTATCTGATGACCAAATAAGACGCTGTCTTCTCGAAAACCCTCGTTCAACCTCTTCAGAAATAGGCTTTACATTAAATTGTGATGGGTCAACCGTAAGGAAACGCTTGAATGCCATGGATTTTATCGAAAAAGTTGGACAAATGGATACCGCATGAACGATAACGCGCGACCACATGTCTCTTTACAGACTCGACAAAAAACCAGAGTGTTGGATGGGAGGTTTTACCACATCCACCTTATAGTCCAGACCTTTCTCCATCCGATTATTATTTATTTTTGTCTCTGTCTAACTTTTTGGCCAATAAACGGTTCAATTCCGAAGAAGATGTCAAAACCGAGGTTGATCTTTCCTTCGCCTCTAAGGGCCAAGATTTTTATTATCGTGGAATGTCTTTACTTGTAGAACGTTGGCAAAAGGTTGTTCTTTCGAATGGTGATTACTTCGTTGAATAAAAATTATTTTAACGAAACTTATGGTCTTTTATATTTAAACGTTAAAAACGTGGATTACTTTTTCACACACCTAATACTTTAATGTACTTTAATATACTTTAATGTACTTTAATATACTTTAATGTACTTTAATATACTTTAATATACTTTAATGTACTTTAATATACTTTAATGTACTTTAATGTACTTTAATGTACTTTAATGTACTTTAATTTAATGTAAGTACTAACCCAAATCCTCCTGAAAGATTCAGCGACAAAACCGGGAATCGAAAAGCAGAAGGAATACCAGAATTCAGAGCAATAGTGACACTATTTTGGAAGTTGTTCAAATTTCCTGTATCATAGTAAATTGTTTCAATTTGAAGTTGCTTTAATAGAGACCATGTTGATAAACAAATCAAATCCTTTTGAATATAGAGCTTCAAATAAGAAATTTGCTTTTTTTGAATCATTTTCTCCAAAATCTCTGAATTATTGTGTTCTATTTTGAGTTGAAATGAATCAGTAACTTGTTTAAAAGTAAGATTATCCAAAAAATCGTTTAATAAAGTTGTTAACGAGAATTCAGCTAACAATCGTTTATTTGTCATTTGTTTTAGCAACTCTTTTGTCACTTTTATGCAATCTTTATCATAACAAAGCTTTCCGAATTCCAATTTTATCCAAAACGGCTTGAGAAGTTTAATAAAAAGATGAGAATAGTTTCCTGAAAGTTTCACAGCATTCGAATGATAGGATATCGTTGAAATTGAATCAATCGAAAATATGGAGAAGTTGAAAGAGGTCTGGCTTTGATCGGGCTCAAATTTAGAATCAATTTTACCCGATACATAAACACCACAATAATCATGAATCCAATCAATCGAAATTCTTGTTGAATACTTTTCCATAAAAGGTCCATTGTGTAGTAGAAAGTGACGAAGTTGTTGATTAACTTTTGCAAAATTTAGTAATGTTTTCCATGAAATCCTGCATAAAACCGAGTGCTTAAACTCTTTTAAAAGAATAGAAAATGGAAACATTTCGATAGAGAAATAAAATGGCTTGTTGAAAGGAAAAAGAAATGAGTTGCTTGCAAATAGAAAAGAAATTTACCTTGACAAGTCATTTTTTGATGGAGATAGATGAAGTTTGCCACTAGCATTTCTTACATTGCTAACGGTAAGTCGTTTAAAAAGTATCATAGGTGACAAATGATGATAACAAAATAAGAAATTAATCTCTTGTGCGAAAATTTGAAATAATATAGAAGCTGTTTGTCAATTGTCTTTAAGAGAATTCTCTTTGATACCATCAAAACCTAAAAGAGGATGAGTAATACCGAATTTTCCCTAAAGCGAACCCTTCGTCTAAATTCCACGAAATCTCGAGAACCCCTTATCAGAACCTATTGATGTGGGGTCGGAAAATGTAGCTGACCATGAGATCTAGTGGGGGATTTGAGTGTTGAGCTTCTGGAATAGCTTGGAAACCGTAAAATAGGCATCAACTCGGCTGGCCGGGGTGCACTGCAATTAGAGAAAATACGGTACATTGGCTATATAAAATGACGATTAGATCTAGTGTCACTATCTAGTCTTATTCCTTGAAAACAATCACTGTAGTAATTCTCTTTAAAATATAATCAAATCCAAACTAAAAATTGGTTTTAAAAGTAAGCTTTGGTTTTGTATTCCTTGAAAACAATCACTACTTCAGTAATTTTCTTTAGAATATACCGTATTTTCTCTTAATAGTAGTGCACCCTGAGCATCGCCTAAATTCCTCGAAATCTCGAAAAGCGCTTATCAGAACCTATCGATGTGGGGTCGGAAAATGTAGCTGACGATAAGATCTAGTCGGGGATTAGAGTATTGAGCTTCTGCAAAAGCTTGAAAACGGAATTTCCCAAGGAGTTTCCGCGTCAGCTCTTGGATCTCTTCGCTCGTTTGGTGCTTTATTGGGCATGCTTAGCATCTTCACCTATACATTGATTGGAGAGAACGATTGAACTCGTCATTGCTGCTTTCATTGGACTATTGGTAAGAAAATTGATGAGCAAAGTATTATGACAATACTAGGTTGGTGCAAATGAAATTTCGTTTTTTTACAAACATTAAAGTCATCCAAAATTTTTTTTGATAACAATTTATTTAAAACAATAAGCACCATTATTATATATGACATCCCTCCAACGTTGCTACAGATTGCGGATCCCCTTCTCAAAGAACGCTTGATTCTGTGATGCAAAGTAGTTGGTCACCCAATTTTCGACTTCTTTTGCATTCTTAAACTGGCAATTCTCAAGGGAATGTTGCATCGATCTGAAAAGGTGAAAATCGGAGGGTGCTAAGTCTGGACTATACGGCGCATGTGGTAAGACCTTCCATCCTAGCTTCTCTAGTTCCTTACAAGAGGTTTTTGCCGTGTGAGCTGGAGCATTATCACGGAGAAAGTTGATAGTTGAGGGATTTAGGCCTTTTCACGCAAAATTTCGTCAACCTTCTTGAGTTGTTGAATAAAATAAGATGAATCGACTGTTTTTCCGGACTCTAATAATTCAAAATGAACAAGTCCATTGATATTCCACCAGCAAGACAACACACTTTGCGCCCATGATAATCCGGCTTTGGAGTTGGAATTGGCGCTTGACCTTGCTCAGCCATTGTCTTTTCGAGAAGTATTATCAAAGTGAATCCACTTCTCATCCATCGTCAAGATATTCTCAAAAAAATGGCTTCTTTTCGACTTCTGAGCAAGATATGGCTGATCGGAACGCGTGCTCCCAGATTCTCAACACTCAATTGATGTGGAACCCATTTCATTACGTGGGGGGGAGGGGGGGGGGAATTTTTTATTATTTAAAGGGTAAATTGTTGATTTGGGGTTGTTTGGGGGGTTTTTTTTTTTTTTTTTTTGGTTTTTTTTATAAATTTTTTTTTTTTTTTTTTTGGTTGGGGGGGGGGGGGGGGTGTTGGGGTTTTTTTTTTTGGGGTTTTTTTTTTTTTTGGGGGGGGGGGGGGGGGGGGGGGGGGTGTTTTTTTGTGTTTTTTTTTGTGGAGAGAAGGGGGGGGGGGGGGGGGGATGTGGTTTTTTTTTTTTTTTTTTGATTTAAAAGGGGGGGGGGGGGGGGAAATATTTTTTTTTTTTTTTTAAATAAAAAAAAAAAAAAAAAAAAAGGAAGGTTTTTAATTTAAAAAAAGGAAAAAAAAAAAAAAAAATAGAAAGGAAAAAAAAAAAAAAAAAAAAAAAAATTTATTTTAAAAAAAAAAAAAAAATTATGTTGAACTTGATATATCGTGTTTTCTCTAATAGTAGTGCACCCTGAGCGTCGCCTAAATTCCACGAAATCTCAAGAACCCCTTATCAGAACCTATCGATGTGGGGTCGGAAAATGTAGCTGACGATGAGATCTAGTGGGGGATCAGAGTGTTGAGCTTCCAGGATAACTTGGAAACCGTAAAATAGGCATCAACTCGGCATTACTATTAGGGACAATAAGGTAACCATTCCATTCCCGGTTTGGGTATCTTCGAATTATCGGTGAACATTATGCCAAAGACTATTTGAAAAGCACATTCTACCTAATAATTTCAGTTTAACACTTTACTTTTAGAAGTTAGAATGTTGATTTTCTTGATCACTCTCTCAGCCACACTTTACAAGAAAATTCCTTGAAGCGGTGAATTTGTAATCCCGACTCTAACACCTACTAATCTTTGATAGTGACCCAAGCTTTCGCTTTCTCTCTTTCCTTTCTTCTTTCTTTCTTTCTTTCTTTCTTTCTTTCTTTCTTGAATTTCTCTATCAGTTTTCGTAACATTTTACTGCTTGTTCGTTTTGTTTTCTAAACATATCTAACTTCTCAGTTTTGGAAGTTAAAGAATGCTGAATGGTCGCCAAGCAACTCATTTTGGGTTCAAGTGGGAGAAAAATCGAGCCACTATCCAGCTATGAGGAAGGAAAGTTTCATTTTCTTTAATCTTTCAGACAATCAACTATAAAACCGGACTAAATTCATTCAAAATGCAGTTTGAGTGTAAGTTGAGTCTTATTTTACAAAGCACGGTAATGATAGACCTTTAAATTTCATAAAATGTTGTAATTTGAAGCCCAGTTCCTGAAATCAAAACCGGGATTTGAGTGGGTTTGTTGGGTGCAGATTTCGAAAAAATAGTCCCCACAACACCCCTTTTCCCTTTGGTTTTTCCCAATTTTGTCCCTTCGCTTCTGATATTTGTGAGTGTCTATCAGAGCTTATCACACGTTGTTGAGGCCTTTTTCTTCTTCTTCTTCTTCTTCTCTTTCTTCTCTCTTCTTCTTCTCTTCTTCTCTTCTTCTCTTTTTCTTCTTCTTCTTCTTCTTCTTCTTCTTCTTCTTCTTCTTCCTCTTCTTCTTCTCTTTTTCTTCTTCTTCTTCTGATTTCTCTTCTTTAGATTTAGCTTCTGATTTACTCCCCATTGAGATTATTTATTCGACTTTTCAGCAACGAAAGTTTGCCCCTTATTTTTGTAAACCCCGTTTGTTTACCCGATTTTTTATTCGATTTTGATTTTTTCTTTCTTTCACTCGATTTGGATACATTTTAAGTCATCTTTCGTCAAAAAAACTAGCAGTTTTATAGTAATTGCTAAATATTTTTGACGATTTTGAATCGATTCTAAAAAGTGTTCGATCTGAATCACCTTTAGAAAGTTGTAAATCATTTTTTGAAAGTTGAGTCCGTTTTAGCCTTTGTTAAAGCATTTTATTTTGAAAGCTTGAAACAGCTAAATGGTTTGAGAAAAGAATCAGAAAGGATTCCATCAAAGGATTCCACTATTGAATCTAGAAAACTTGCCATTTTTACAGCAAATCCCCAAGACAGTTAACTCAAGTCAAAGATCTTTTTTGGCTTTTCAAGTTCTTCATCAAAGGACTCGTCAAGTCAAAAAATTGCATTCAAAATCCAAAATGGTGATCGACCACGTGTTGGTACACAGCTCTTTTTATCCAAATAGATCAACGCAAAAGCGGCCGCTCCTCTTTTCGATCTTTTCTCTCTTTTTTGGACCATCCTTGTCATCCCCTATTTCCCCTCTCCGATCATCGACAAGACCATTGCGGAACCAAATCCTCAAATCCTTGTTTATTCGATTTAGACCCTATGCAAAAATTGATGTTTTTTTTTGTAATCTACAGTACTGGACAATGAAATATGATATTTGAAAAACGATCGTCACTTTCGCGCGTCTGTAACTCCCTTGTCTTTGAGTTTAAACTATTAGTGTTATACATTTTCTGAAAGCTCTTTTCAAGGGCTACACAATGGTAATATTAATATTTAGAAATACTGTAAAGACAAGGGAGTTACAGACGCGCGAAAGTGACGATCGTTTTTTCAAATATCATATTTAATTGTCCAGTAGTGTACCCATTTCTCGAAAATAGTAAACATGATTTTCTTGCTGAATTCTATGAGTAAACTCGTTTTTTTCAATTTTTTCACACTTCGTCATACAGATTGTAAAGAGCATCAATCAGAATTTTATCACAATCTTGAGAAGATCTTCAGATTGATTTTTAAAGCATCATTCGATCATTGAAACCGTTTCTTGGTTTATTCCATTTTTTGTATTGCTAAACTATTTTCTTTTAGCTTTTTTTTACATCGATCGTTCTTTTGATTAGCTTTTTTTTGTATAAAAACTATCGCGTAATACTCTTTTTAATCTTTTCATCCCTTGTCCTTGTTTTAAATGCTTTGACTTTTCCTCGCTTGACTCTCTAAATGTTTTCTCCAAAATACCATCTTATTTTCCAGAATGAAGGAAAAAACAGGCAAAAAAATATCGATTCGAAGCGTGGTGCAGGATGAGAATCCGTTAGTTTACAAAGAATAACAGTCAGATCTTATAAAAGTTCAAAGAAAGCGCGCAAGCCGGATGGTTTTTGAATTTAGCTGCTCTTGAAGTGACACAATGGTTTAACAGCATGTAGTAATAGAGTAAAATTTAAGGGAAAAATTGCTTCCAAAGATTTCGCGTATTTAAAACCGGCAAATTTCGCTCAGGGGTTTTCGGGGTCGGAGATTTGATTGGCGGTGCTTATTTTGTCATATCTTTTTAAGAAATCCTATAATTTTCGATTCGATTCGAGATTCAGAGGTTCGGTAAATTTATGTTTATGTAATATGCTCGGTTTATAACTCACCACTACTAAAGAAAGACATTAATTATAAGTTAAATATGATTTTCAGAGCTCTGACAAACACAGTCATCGTTAATGGAGCATATCTCTTCAGCACTTTTGTGAGTTTATGAAATAAAATTTTACTGGCTTTCAATAGCAAATTCTTATGAATTCTTTCTGATTTAGCTTTTAATTTCCATGAAAATATTTGTTTCTAAGGATTTTGAGTGGAAAAGTCTGAATTGAGTGGCTCAATTTCTGCCAAACGGTAACCTTTTTTTGATAAGATAAACAAGAAATAAGAAAAAGAATCAAAGTCTAAAAGAATTTTGATTGAACTTTGACAGTTTATCGAAGAAATTTAAGCCGATTTTACAATTTTCTACAAAATGTCACGGAATTGTAGATTGGGTTGTTGTAGACCGATTCCCATCAATAATGAACTGTTATCAAGAAAGTTGAGAGACTGAAAAGAACAAAAAGGGGTTTTGAAGGCAGTTTTGCAATTACATTTGGGAAATTTTGAGGCTCAAATGATGAAACAATAAAGACAAAAACTGTTGAATGTGTTCTTAGGGTGATCGGCTATGGATGTTCGCGGTGGGAATCTTTATGACACGGATTGGTGGACTTTCTTGGGTGGCGATTCAACAATTGGTCGATTCGTTGACGAAGTTGTTGTTGTTGCCGATGGTTGGGACCAGATTGGATAAATTCAACAGGAATCGTGGTAAGTAAGGCTCTAGCCTGGCGGCAAGCGATATGGGTCGGTGGCTTATTGGTAGAGTGTTGAGCGAGAGGGTTCGAATCTCGGGGTTGATGCTTTTTTGTATTTCCAGCCTCAACTCAACCGGCGTGCTCTTTTCCTCTTGCAATCTTGAGAACTGTTTTAGAAATGTTTCGCAAAAAAAGGCAATTAAGGCAAACTTTGGCAATTAAGCGGATTTGAATCAGCAACGAAAAAGGAAATTCGCACTATCTACTAGGCCACCAGCTAGCATTTGAGGGAAAGCCTGCCAACCTTATAAACCTACCGAAATTGAGACCAAACTTTGTACTCCAAATATCTCACGTTACAGAGCTCTTCCGGAAAAGTTAAAACCAGATTCGGAATCAGCGTAAAAAACTCTATCAGATAGGTTTGGTCTCGTTCAAAAAACCCACCTTAACTTGACAACATTCCCTAGTAAGGGTTTAGAAGACAGTTCATTTAATCTAAACAGTTTTTTCAATTGACTTATCAACCTACTTATCAACCATCTCTCACAAAGATAATTCTTACCCATTCCAGGAATGCAATTGGTTCTCTTGTGCAACAACTTGTCAATCGTCGTCTCGGCTTGTGCTTTCTACGTGGGAGAGACGAAATTCGCGAAAGAGAGCGGTGCTTTAAAGCATGTAAGATTGATAATTTTGAAAGGAAATCCAAAGCAACTGATTCCTAGATTGCTTTGATTATGGCACTGATCTTTGGGTCAATCTCACGAGTTGCCAGTGAAGCACAAAGGATCACTTTCAACAAGGACTGGATCATCGTTTTGGTGGAGAATACGAATGGAGCCACTCGATTGTCTAGTAAGGATTAGAATGTGTTAGAATGTTCCCCGCAATCAATTAATTAATTGTCTAAAGTTGAACGATTAATATTTTAATCGTCCTAGTTGTCTTCAAAGCCTTAATCAGTCCCTTCAAAGCTTATAAGCGGCAAAGTTGCTTCCGTGCCGCTTTCGGTTTAGCTCTTCACTGTTAAATTAAGATTTTAAAAGCTATAGGAAAATTTTAAGCTTATTTTCTTCTTTATTTTTACATTTGCATGGAATTTTGAATGTTTTTTGAACGGATTACGAGTTTTTTCCTCGTATTTTAAACATATTCTAGTAAGAATTCAATTTATAAATTGAAATAAACTCTTGTAAAGTTATTCAAATTTTTATTGATCAATATTTCAGCTCAAAACTCGATTATGGGAGCCATTGATCACGCAGCGAATATGATTGCTCCTGTCATTGTTGGCGGTGTTATTGATAACATTTCTTCACAAGTATTCAAACCCATAAAGCTAAAATCTATAAAATCTAGGCTTGTTGCATTTTCATCATTTTGTGGAACATTGTCTCGTGGATTCTTGAAGGATTCGTTCTTTTCTGGGTTTACAAAAGAACTCCTGCATTAGCCACAAAGAAAGGTTTCTTTCTAAGATCATTATAAAACCAAAAAAACTTGAAGGTGATGAAAAGTTCGAGGTGGAACAAGCTCTTTGTGGAATCAGTGCCTTCAAAGCTTATAAGCGACAAAGTTGCTTCCGTGCTGCTTTCGGTTTAGCTCTTCTCTATATGACTGTACTTGGATTCGACAATGTTCGCTAAATTTCCTGAAAAAGTAAATATCACTTTTAGTTGGCTATCTCTTACGGACTTTCTCAAGGAGTTTCCGCGTCAGCTCTTGGATCTCTTCGCTCGTTTGGTGCTTTATTGGGCATGCTTGGCATCTTCACCTATACATTGATGGAGAGAACGATTGGACTCGTCTTTGCTGCTTTCATTGGACTATTGGTATGGAAATTGATGAGTAAAGTATTGTGACAATATGAGATACCGTATTTTCTCTAATAGTAGGGCACCCTGAGCATCGCCTAAATTGATCGAAATCTCGAGAACCGCTTATTAGAATCTATTGATGTGGGATCGGAAAAAGTAGCTGACAATGAGATCTAGTGAGGGATTAGAGAGTTGAGCTTCTGCAAAAGCTTGGAAACCGTAAAATAGGCATCAACTAGGCACGACTGTTAGGGACAATATGGTAACCATTCCATTCCCGGTTTGGGTATCTTCGAATTATCGGTGAACATTATGCCAAAGACTATTTGAAAAGCACAGTCTACCTAATAATTTCAGTTTAACACTTTACTTTTAGAAGTTAGAATGTTGATTTTCTTGATCACTCTCTCAGCCACACTTTACAAGAAAATTCCTTAAAGCTGTGAATTTGTAATCCCGACTCTAACACCTACTAATCTTTGATAGTGACTCAAGCTTTCTCCTTCTTTCTTTCTTTCTTTCTTATTTTCTTTCTTCCTTTTTTCTTTCTTGAATTTCTAAAAATTGGTTTTAAAAGTAAGCTTTGGTTTTTGATCCCTTGAAAACAATCACTACTTCAGTAGTTTTCTTTAGAATATACCGTATTTTCTCTAATAGTAGTGCACCCTGAGCATCGCCTAAATTCCTCGAAATCTCGAGAACTGCTTATCAGAACCTATCGATGTGGGGTTGGAAAATGTAGCTGACGATTGAGATCTAGTGAGGGATTAGAGAGTTGAGCTTCTGTAAAACCTTGGAAACTGTAAAATAATCACTAACTCGGCTCACCGGGGTGCACTACTATTAGAGAAAATCCGGTAAGCATTCTTAAATGATAACGGGAAGAATGTATTTTTCAGCTTCAAAACATTGCCATCAATTTGTGCTCGACTTCAACCGTCCTCCCGGGAAATCCCTTCAACGCTACTGGCTTTATCTCAAACATGAACTTACAGGTTTTAAATTTATTTCTTCTTTCTTTTTTGAAAATCCCTATCTTCGTCATAACTTTTTGCTTGTATTTGTTTTGGTGAAAAGGAAATAAGGACAAAAACCCACCCGAATGGCATCCAATTTCAAATGAAACAAAAAAGATGACATAAAAACGGAATGAACATTCTTTTCTTACAAGTTCTTGCAAAATTTATAAAGAAAATAAAATGGTAATTTGAGAAGGTAGAAAAAAATAAGGATATGAATGAGAATTGATTAGGGAAAGTTCAGAGTTCTAGGTGAAAAGGAAAGAAAAGATTCGTTTTCAGGAATGGTCGGGTCATGTCAAGAATGGAATCATGAAAGCTGGTTTGGAGACGGATAAGGTGCAAGCTCTCCCGATTTGGCAACTCCCGCCATCGATCATTCTTTTCTTTACCGGCATCACTCTGGCTAGATATGGTAATAAAGAAAGCAAAGAAAGATTTCCGGAGAGGGATTGAACCCTTGATCTTCTGCTTTCAATTGCTCTAACTATTAAGCACTGGAAGAGAGGATCCGAGGTCTCGAAACTCGTCAATTTGACAAGGCACTAGCGTCCAGGTCCTAGAGAAAAGGAAGATTTATTTATTCATTGGCAAGAAGTGAAGGAATTGGAAAGGAAAGGTAGATATCCGGAGAGGGAATTGAAACCTAGATCTGCTTTCAATTGCTCTAATCTATTTAAGCTATTCGGCACCTTAACTTGCCAAAAGAAAGAAGGAAAGGCAAGGAGAAGAAGCAAGGAAGCAAGAAAGAAAGAAAGAAGGAAATACTTGAATCTTTAGTAAACAAATTGGCTATGACTTTATGCAAAACATACAAATTTCAGGACTCTGGATTGCTGATCCAGCTATCTCACAAATCATGCAGCACACAATCCCGGAACGAGAGCGTTACACCGTTTTCGGAGCTCAAACAGCAATCTGCGAATTCTTCAGTGTCATCAAAGATCTTTTGGTTAGTTGGGGAAACTTTTTATACATGTCGTAGCTGATTATGAATGAAATTTTTTGGCAAACCTTTTTAGTAGGTTAACTCTTTAATTTATAAGGACAATATTATATCATTTTGTAGAGAATTCAATTCTCCGTCGATTTGTACTAGATTTGTGAGTTTTGTTTAAAAATTCCGGGCGCTACAACGCTTCAAAATTGGTGGGACTCCAGTAGCCGATTATGAATTTCGATTATAAATCGGATCTGGGCGCGTCCAATCATCAATTATTTAGTATCATTCAACGCAGAATCATTGATAATTATGTTTAATTTTTTAAATTAAAAAGATTGGAAAAAAAGGAAAAATTTACGAGGCTTCAAAGTTTTCTCTCAAACAAACAGTCTTTTTCGATATAATTTTGATATTGAATTATTGATAATCTATGTTAAATCTTTTAAATTAAAAAGATTTAATAAAAAGAAAAAAAATTAGAGCGAAAAAGACTGTTTGTTTGAGAGAAAACTTTGAAGCTACGTAAATTTTTTTCTTTTTATCCAATCTTTTTAATTTAAAAAATTTAACATAATTATCAATGATTCTGCGTTGAATGATACTAAATACTTGATGATTGGACACGCCCAGATCCACAATAATCGATTTAGAATCGAAATTCATAATCAGCTACTGGAGTCCCGCCAATTTTGAAACGTTGTAGCGCCCGGAATTTTTAAACAAAACGCCCAAATTTAGTACCAATCGACGCAGAATTGAATTCCCTACAAAATGATATAATATTGTCCTTATAAATTAAAGAGTTCACCTATTAGAAAGGTTTACCAAAAAAATTTCATTCATAATCGACTACGACATACAGTGGCGGACATAAACTTATCACACCCCAAAATAATTTCTTATTTCTCCTCTAACTTTTTTTCTAAACAACCCTTTGAGCTAAAAGTTGGTTTAGACACGTAAAAACAAACATATTTTAATATTTTAAGTCAAAAAACTAAATATCTCTGATGAAAAACTTTTTTTGAACTTTTTTATTATAAACTCGAACGACATTGACTTATCACACCTCATAAAAACAACACAAAAAGCTATTAAAAACTACCCAAAAACAACGGCTGATAAATCAAAACGGGAACAAAAACTTAATACTTCGATCCCGTCCGACAGTGTAGAGCCAAAATTTTGTTGACCGTGGTCCGATCGATTCCCAAAACACTCCCAATTTCTCTCTGACTCTTCTGTTGGCGGTGAAGACGAAGAACGTCCTCCCTTTTCTCCAACGAAATTTGCTTCTTCTTTCCCATATACCTAGAAAGAGTTTTAATGAGATTAGATTCAAAAGTCGGAAAAAAACCCAAAATAAAAACGAAATTTTAATGTTTTGTGTTGTTTTTATGAGGTGCGATAAGTCAATGTCGTTCGAGTTTATAATAAAAAAGTTCAAAAAAAGTTTTTCATCAGAGATATTTAGTTTTTTGACTTAAAATATTAAAATATGTTTGTTTTTACGTGTCTAAACCAACTTTTAGCTCAAAGGGTTGTTTAGAAAAAAAGTTAGAGGAGAAATAAGAAATTATTTTTGGGGTGTGATAAGTTTATGTCCGCCACTGTATATAAAAAGTTTCCCCAACTATAATCGGCTACGAAATATACAAGATTTGAATCTTTAAAAGAGTTAAAGAATTTTCAGGTAATCTCTTTCCCAGTAGTTGAAATGTTTGGTCTTCTTTCACTCATCTCATGCTGCTTTGTTTTCACCGGTTTTTTATTCTACTTTTCGTATTTCATCAAGGTAAGATTCATTGTTTTATTTGCTAAAATCTACTTGAAATTTCTAGAATCTTCGCACCAAGTTTGAACTTGAAAACGAAAACGATAAAGAATTGATCGAAATTGGAGCAAAATCTGAAACTGTACCTCTAGCTGAATTCGAGAAAACTGATATTGAGAAAGATGTTTAACCTTTTGTTTCACTTTTTTAGATTTTTATTTGATGTATATATTTTCATTCAGGGTTTTTCTTTTCCATTTCTTTTTTCTTTCTTTTTCTTCCATTTTTCTTCCATTTTCTTCTATTTTCTTCCATTTTTCTTCCATTTTCTTCTATTTTCTTCCATTTTCTTTCCATTTCTTTCTTTTTCTTCCATTTCTTTCTTTTTCAATCTCTTTAAATCAACCATTTCACTTTGTCTTCACCAGTCAAATACGAGTTTTTGATTTTCTCGATTTTCAATGTGCCTTTATTTTTTATCTAAATCAAAATCCTTTCTAAATCAATTAAATAAAAAGATTTAAATATTAGAAAAAGTGAAATGCTTTAGGCTTTAGGCTTTAGAGAAAACATTGAAAGGATTTAAAAATAAATGAAGAAGCTTTGATTTTCTTTTTTTAGAAGTAAATTTTGTTTTCAAATTGTCATTTGTCATTTGTCATTTGCTATAAAGTTCTTTTCCACCCTAAGTCGCATCCAGAATTGCAAAGCCACTTGAAAATTGTGGAAAGCTCTAGAAGTAAACGTAGTCATCCTGGTACTTGTCGATTATACATCCACAAAGACTCATCTCGGTGAAGCATCCCCATCCGAGTCTTCTCGGTTATCGATTTTCGTTCGACTGATCGACTGATCACTTCAGACGATCACTCTACTTCATTGAACATAATCACCCCTCACAAGTTGTCAGCTTCTTGCTTAACCAGAGTCTCTGTAGAGTTGAGTCTCTGTGGAGTTGAGTTGCTTAACCGGGTTGAGTCTCTGTATAACCGACAAGTACTGTCATCCTTATCAAATTTCGGTCGGTTCTCATCCCCATCATCTTTCCCTTTATCATTCTTTTATAAACCGTATTAGTAGGGTTTAGAATAAGCTCCTGTCTGGTACCTTCTCGTCTGTAGGAAAATCCAAAAAAAATCTCGGTTAAGCATCCCCATCCGAGTCTTCTCGGGCTTTGTAATAGAATTTATTGGACCATAGCCTTCATTGGATGTTCGGTCTGCATCCTGAAATTGAATATTAATTTTAAGTATTGTAAAGTCAATCATAGAAGTATCATAGAAGTATCAGTCAATCATAGAAGTCTCAGTTCTAGACTGACATCAGCCTCTACAAACTAGCTTTGGTACTTGTCGATTATACATCCACAAAGACTCATCTCGGTAAAGCATCCTCATCCGAGTCTTCTCGGTTATCGATTTTCGTTCGACTGATCGACTGATCACTTCAGACGATCACTCTACTTCATTGAACATAATCACCCCTCACAAGTTGTCAGCTTCTTGCTTAACCAGAGTCTCTGTAGAGTTGAGTCTCTGTGGAGTTGAGTTGCTTAACCGGGTTGAGTCCCTGTATAACCGACAAGTACTGTCATCCTTATCAAATTTCGGTCGGTTCTCATCCCCATCATCTTTCCCTTTATCATTCTTTTATAAACCGTATTAGTAGGGTTTAGAATAAGCTCCTGTCTGGTACCTTCTCGTCTGTAGGAAAATCCAAAGTATTTGTAAACGAATTAGATCTTATTTCCATCTCAAATCTGCCCTATATTTAATCTTTTTGGATCAGTGTTTCCTAACTGTAGTCTTAGTGTACTATTTTTAGTTTTCTTTCTTTTTTTTGTGAAAGTATTGTAGCAATATGCAATATTCACCAGTACATACAGTAATAAATAAAAAAAAAGGCATAATTTCAATAGTTAAGATACAAAAGTGCTAAACAAAACTATAATTATTTTAATTTGACTAAATTTGATTGAAAAATTTAATAAAATTCTTTACAAAATGATTATTCAAAGTAAAAAGAGATTTCGAAGATAAATGGTTTCAAAATCGGATGTAAAATCTTGAATCTAAAAGCTGATTCTACAATCAACACCTATTTACAAGTGTTTGCTAAAGTGTGCCCCTTTCTGTCTTATCCTACTGTAGTTATTTCAGCTATATAAGGCGGTCTTTTTCTTCATTTCTTCGTTTCGGTTCATTTCTTTCTTCTTTTATTTCATTTTATTCATTTTCTAGTGAATTATTGTTCTCAAACACTTTTAAGTTTAAATTTCTTTTCTTTCTTCTTTTCAAACTTTTCAAAAGCTTCTTATTTTCCGGTTAATCTTTTCTGAAGCTTCCTTTTTAACAGCAAAACAATCAAACAAGCAAAACAAAAGCGTACAAGAAGTTTTAAGTGAGCTAACTTTGAATTTAGATTTGAAATTCACATTTCATTCATAAAGAACGACAAAAATTGGATAATGAAAGTCAGCATTTCCGGCTTTAAAGCCTTAAAAATCAATGATCATGGCTAATATTTGAATTTTCCGGCAGTCAGCATTTCCAGCATCAACTTACAGCTACTTTTAACAGTTCAAAAGTTTCAAATTCACTTAAAGATTCAAATACCAGTCATGATCATTGATTTTCAGGATTTAAAGCCGGAAATGCTGACTTTCATCATCCAATTGTTGTCGTTTGCCTGAAAAATCAATGATCATGGCTAATATTTGAATTTTTAAGTGAGCATTGGAGTGAGTTTTAAGTTTTAAGTGAGGTTTTAACAGTTCAAACTCTTGAACTGTCAAAAGTAGCTGTAAGTTGTAAGATAAATATTTGAATTGACAGCAAAAACAATAATGTAAACAATTTGCATTTATGTTTGCTATATATTTCATCAATTGTTATTTCTCCAAAATGCAGGTGATTTTTGCTCTATTTGTTGACATTGGTTCAAATTACTTGACGCGAGTGCTGAAAATTTCACCTGTTCTTTTCAGTGGTGTTTTTTTAATTTTACGAAAACAAACTTTCAATTTAGATTTGAAATTCACCTGTCATTCATAAAAAACGACAACAATTGGATCATGAAAGTCAGCATTTCCGGCTTTAAAGCCTGAAAATCAATGATCATGACTGGTATTTGAATTTTTAAGTGAATTTGAAACTTTTGAACTGTTAAAAGTACACTACTGGACAATTAAATATCATATTTGAAAAACGATCGTCACTTTCGCGCGTCTGTAACTCCCTTGTCTTTACCGTATTTCTAAATATTAATATTACCATTGTGTAGCCCTTGAAAAGAGCTTTCAGAAAATGTATAACACTAATAGTTTAAACTCAAAGACAAGGGAGTTACAGACACGCGAAAGCGACGATCTTTTTTCAAATATGATATTTCATTGTCCAGTACTGTGGCTGTAAGTTGATGATAAAGATTTGGATTGACAGCAAAAACAAAAGAGTACAAGAATTTCTGAAACTTTTGGATAAACAACAGGTGCCAGTAGGTTTCATTTAAACTATTCAAAAGTATCATTTGAAGTGTTGAAGTTTCCCTAAAGTTATCGTAAAACTACAACTCTTACCGTCAATACTGTAATAGTACCCCACCCGCCTCGTACAGTCGCGTAGTTGCAAAGTTTTTTAGTATTTCATTTTTTTCAAAGAATTCGTACTTCAAAAAATGCGTTTTTGGTATGAAAAAATAGCCCTGAATTTCAGCTATTTTTTGATACCAAAGCGCGCATTGTAGCATAAACCAGTGTCGAGAAACACTCGTCCAAAGCTAGACTACGCAGCGCTCCGCACCGTCATTATGGGGGTGGGGTACTATTACAGTATTTACGGTAGGTTATTAGACCAAAAAGTCTTTTCCTTCCTTTTCGTATTGAAAAATAACAAATTCACCAAAGCCTTTAAACCAAAAGTGTTTATTGTTTAATTTTAATGCTGTTTTTGTTCTTTTGATGTTGTTTATTGTTCAATTTTCAGTCAACACCAAGCAAATTCGCGAGTGAAATGTGTGTCTTTCGTAAAAATCTATAAAAGCTTCTACGAAGAAATTGGCTGAATGAATTTCTCTGAAAATTTGGCTATAGACCTAACTTTTTATGCTCTATCTTTTATCTATTGACATCAAGATAGGTTTCCTTAGCTAAAAGTGTCTAAATCGCATTATCGAGCCGTCTTTTGACTGATTTTTGAATACCCGACTTTACGCTCAAAAAACATCCAGAAATAAGACATTTTAAATCCGTTTTAATGTTTTTTTGCAGAAAATCCTTTTCATACTTTCGTTAAAAAATAAAATTCACCAATTAATCCACCGTAAATACTCTAATATTTCGGCACCCCATAATGACGGGTGTACAGTCGGGTAGTCTAACTTTGGACCTCCTGTTCTCCGCGCTGCTTTATGCTACAGTGTGTGCTTTGGTGTCAAATGATAGCCCTTGAAATCTAGTATTTTTTGCTACCAAAATTATAGTTGGAAAAAATCTAGAGGCTGAGAAAAAATGATTTTTTAAGAAGTTAAACTAAGCGACTGAACGAGGGGTGCCGTTCAATTACAGTATTTACGATATGTACAGTTCTGGACAATGAAATATCATATTTGAAAAACGATCGTCACTTCTGTAACTGTAACTCCCTTGTCTTTGAGTTTAAACTATTAGTGTTATACATTTTCTAAAAGCTCTTTTCAAGGGCTACACAATGGTAATATTAATATTTAGAAATACGGTAAAGACAAGGGAGTTACAGACGGGCGAAAGTGATGATCTTTTTTCTAATATGATATTTCATTGTTCAGTAGGTAATTTCAAAGCTAGAACTCTTAAACTTCTAGAACTTCAGTAGTGTAGGTGCTGATAAAAGGCTTTATAGGTACACAAAATTCAGCTTGTGGAAACAAACGGACGGAGTTATACAAAGAGAAAAATCGACAATTTTCTGTAATTTGATCTATTTTGTCATTTTGTCTTTCAAATTGGTTCCACACGCTATGTTATGTCAAAATTTGAATTCGACACCCTAAAATTACCTAGAAAAACAACCTTTGTAATAGAAATTGGTTAATATTAGCTTTTTAGAGCTTTTTTAAAACGCGAAAAAACGTGCGCTAATGGGCAAGGTGCGGAAAAAAAGGTCGCATTTGTCCCACTCCCTTATTTTGCAGAAAATTGATTGGCTTTTCTAATGAAACAAACAGTTTAATTGATGCATTTGTTGGTTTTAATTGTTGTTTATTTATTTGTTTAATATTTGTTACATTTAATGCATTTTATCAATAGTTTAGCTTTCCCAAAATACTAATTTTGGTAAAAATATAGTCTCTCGTCAAAATTTTCGCAAAATTTACCTTCCATGAATGATAATAACTTCACTACGTGAGAAAGAACACCTTTTTTTTGCTGTTGAACAGATTTTTATTGAATATCAATAGTTATTGTTGTTCAAAACTTGAAAACAATTGAACGATCTCTGAACATTTTTGAACAGAGTTCAATCTTAACGAAATTTCGATTTTTTATTAAACACTATCTTTGTTTTGTGGAAGAAAATAGATATAGAAATTGTTTTTTTTTACTTTTTTCTTTTATTTTCATGAAAGTCGTGAGAGTAAAGAACATCCATTTTTTTTTCTATGATACGTGCTTCTTTTCATCTTCGTAATTAGGTGGTTCATTTGTATCTTTCATAAAAAGAACTCATCAAAGCAGCTCATTAATTGAAAGTTACAAGAAAAAGATGGGAATGAAAAATGAAATCTTACTTAGTCATGAGTTAGAAGTGAGTGAATACATTGGTAAATAACCATCATATAAAATGAAGCATTAAAGTTCTTCAAGTTAAAAATGGGAAATTCAAAACAAGCAGATTCTTTTGAATATCTGAAAGACCGGGTTTTGAAAACTTTGAGCACCCTGAGCGTCGCCTAAATTGCTCGAAATCTCAAGAAGCGCTTATCAGAACCTATCGATGTGGGATTGGAAAATGTAGCTGACGATGAGATCTAGTGGGGGATTTGAGTGTTGAGCTTCTGCGAAAACTTTGGAAGCCGTAAAATAGTCATCAACTCGGTGGGGTGCACTACTATTAGAGAGAATACGGTATTTACCTCGTTAGGCAATAAGTTGTGCTTATAAAGCCTTGTATTTTGTGACTTACCTTTCTCGAGGCAAAGAATCCTCTCCTCGATGTGCAAGAAGTGAATGCTCCTTAATACTCCTTACTTAACCTTTAATAACTTCTTACTTTTAATACATCTTGCAGCTATCGTTTCTGACTTTGTTTTTAATCTAATATACCGTATTTTCTCTAATAGTAGTGCACACTGAGCGTCGCCTAAATTCCTCGAAATCTCAAGAAGCGCTTATCAGAACCTATCGATGTGGGGTCGGAAAATGTAGCTGACGATGAGATCTAGTGGGGGATTTGAGTGTTGAGCTTCTGCAAAACCTTGGGAACCGTAAAATAGGCATCAACTCTGCTCGCTTGGTGCACTACTATTAGAGAAAATACGGTATATCATTGGCTATATAAAAAAGCAGTCTGTTCATTTGCACGGCCGTCTTTGAGCCAAGAAAACTGAAATCATTTTAAAAGTCTTAAAATATCATATAGTTGTATCTATTCAAGTAAAAAATAAAAAGATTGAGCGACACTATGGTGGGTTAAACCCGGGTGGCCCGGGCTGTAGGCAGGCGCCCTCCTGATTGCATCATGACGACAAGTGACGCAACCACCGTTAGACTGGTTTTCAGTTGCTCGGCTATAAAAGGATTATGAAAAGAACTGATTAAAACATTTCACGCACTATACCTACCAGCTGAAAAACCCGCCTAACGGTGATTGCTTAGCTAGTCACCGTGGCGCAGTCGGGAGGGCGCTTGTACAGAACCCAGACTGTCCCGGGTTCCGTCGTGTCATTGGATATCCACTTTTTAAATTTTTGATTTTGAATGGCAAATAGATTGATTTCTAAATTGATTTGGAGTCGGATTTCAATTCATAAATACATTTTCGAAAAAGAAAACTGCCGGAAGAAAGAAAGACCTTAATTAAGCCATTTTTTTCATTCAATTATCCCACTTATTATCCCTGATTGAATCATTTAAGTTTTTAGGCTAATTTATAGAATCTTACTCTCGTTTTTTCTTTAACAACTTTATCTTTTAAGTTATCGTATTGCTGTTGCGCAATTCATTTGCGTTTTTTTCTTTTCTCTGACTTTTTATTCGAAAATCAAAAACAAACAGCAAACACAATGTGATCAAAATTCATTTGCACACTTCATTGAATAAGGAAAAAAATAGAGGCTAAGTTTCTACAAAGTCTTTTAAAAAAAAACACACACACACACAAAGTAGCCATAAAATTAGCATAAAGATCTAATTGCAAATATATAAGAGTAGAATCATCGTCACTTTTCATCTTTACGAGGTCTCCAATGAATGAAAAAAACATCAGAATTCATTTTAATTCACCAAGCTCGAAAAGAAAAGGGTACAGTTGATTAAAATTCAAAAATTGATACCTAAATGACACTCGAAAAGATGTTTTTTAATTTAAAGAATATAAAAAAACAAAGAAAGGGACAAGAATGCAAGCTGTGTCGAGGAAGAAACGCCATACTCGTCAACAAAATTCTATCCAAAGGACCGGGTTATTGTAACACCGAAAATCGAGGTTCAAATCATCGAAATAACAATCAATTCATAAAAGAAAAAACTCTACAAAAAGACAGAAAATATTGGGGACTCCCATAATCGCAGTAAGGGTCTGAAGATGCAAAAAGATTCAACTGTTCAATTCAATTCAACAATGTCTCAACTTTTACACACAACTTCGACCGACTAGAATTTTCTCTAATCCACTTTTTCCTCTAACGAACTTTGGGGTTGGAAAGACTATTGTATAGAGCCCTAGACTGCGAATCTATCCAGGAGATCACTCTATCGGCTAGTGAAATGAGAATACACATAATTGAATACCTAATGGAATGAAAAGATTAAAGCAAGAAATTCGTTTCTGATTTGATTGGAGTGGGAGCGGGGAGGTTGAGGGCTAAAGTGTTGGAAGTTGGTGAAGACATGGAGAGTGATGGAGAGAGTTGTGAGTGGAGAACGGGAGACAATGATTGGGGTGGGAGGACAGCGGTGGCGAGTGATGAGAGAGCAACCAATGGGTTCATATTGAGTGACGAGAGGAGAGCGTTTGGTGAGGTCAAACCGGTGAGGCCGAGGGTCACTGGAGTCACCGGGGTTGGTGGTGGCGTCTGCTGGTTGGCGATTTGGGCCAATGAGTTGAGGAGACCTGGAAATAAAGTATATAAAGAGTACTTTACTTATTCAAAGACACCCATTTTCGTGTTTAAGCTAATAAGCTACTTTCCCATTATACCAAGGAATAAACTCACCAGCTATAGTGGGATTGCAATGGTTTTTATTAGATCTGGGAATTTTCGGTGTCAACGTTCAACGGAAAAATGCGATATCTTCGCAAATTTCACTTCAATCTTTTTGTCTTTGATTTCAATTGATAGAAAATTAAATTCTGCATCGATTGATATCAAAATCGAAGTGAAATTGGTTGAGGGCTGCCATTTTTCCGTTGACGTTCAGATTTTCGTTCATCTATTGACGCTTACACCGAAAATTCTCAGATCTAGTTGGGTTAGAAGATGTGTAAAGAGATTGTAATGGTTTTGATGTTTGTAATTTGATTGGTTGTAATGAAAAGTAATATTACTCTGTATAGTCATACAGTTGAGCTTAACAACTTAACAAAGCTTAACTTAATAAAAGAGTAAAGTTCTGTTTTGAGCTCTCAAAAAGCAGAACACCACCGGCCACCGGGGATCGAACCCTGGACCGTCCGCTTTCCAGGCGAAAGCTCTACTACTGAGTCAGGAGGACACAGGAAAGCCCTCGTTCCAAGAGGCTCATAACAGCGGCGGTAATCGTAACTCGCAAGAAGTCTCTTAGTCTCTGAGACAATACTGAATCAGTGCACTCACCTTGTTGATACAGATAGTTGGTGATGACTTGGCTGTAGTTGCTCTTGCTCAACTCTCCAAGAATAGTCCCAATCAAATCATTCGCGTTTACAGCATTCGCATAAACAGCCATGGGTTTTGCTAAATCCGATGGAGGAGACAATGAATTTGATGAAGATGGAGAAGGAGAAGCATCAGAAGAAGTCGTAGAAACAGCTTCTTCACTCCTCGCCAAGGCAACAGCTTCTCTAACAGCTGCAGCTCTCGCAGCTTGTGATCGAGAAGATCCCGAGCTGCATTTTTGTGATGGACGAGATCTCCTCCTCAATGTCTGCTTGTCAGCCAACTCGGGTACCACCGTCCAAAAGTGTCCTGAAACTAAAATTCATTAGTCTTTCTTTCTGTTCGATTTCTGATCTCTTTCTACATTTATCCGGATTCCTATTTAATTCAAAATTCATTTCCATTTCTAATAAATACATCATTTTCCAACTTCCGAATATCCAAATTAACAATTTCTTTTTTCTTATCATGTGCAAAAGTAATTTTTGTCGAACGCAATACATTTTTAATGAATGTGGGAACGAGAGGAAAAATCAGAGAAATGATAGAAACGAAAATTTGCTATTTTTTGTTTCCTTGGAGATCGAAAAGAAGGAAATTTTAAGCTGGGATTTTGTCTGTTCCCATAATGTTTTGAGATCTAGAAAATAATCACAAATTATGGCCAGGAATCAAAGGGGAAAGTTTCATTTCCCTATAGAATTCCGTTCTCAAAAGCGTCAACACTTTTTGATATGAGAAAGTTTTTGATTGAGGGATTTCAGTGTAGAAATATTTGTGTTTGCGAAAATATCTCTCTTCTCGAATTATAAATGAATTTTTATGTAAAAGGATTCAAAAATGTATATGTCGTAGACGCTTACGAAATTCAGCCGCTAACGAATGATTCGTAATCGGCTAGCCACCAACGAATGATTCGAACGGCAGCCCAACGAATGTCGCGGCTGCCACAACGATGATTCGTAATCGGCAGCCACTAAGAATGATCGTAACGGCAGCCCGATCGAGGCGCCAACGATGCGTAATCGGCCGGCTACGAATCATTCGTATCGGCAGCCCTAACGATGATTCGTAATCGGCTAGCCGCCAACGAATGATTCGTAATCGGCTAGCCACTAACGAATGATTCGTAATCGGCTAGCCGCTAACGAATCATTCGTAATCGGCTAGCCGTTAACGAATCATTCGTAAACGGCTACGACATATATAATCTTCTTATTTACTTTAAAGAAGCCAATAAAAATTCAGCGATATTTCTTTTTGAAAGTCAATTTTTGAAAGAAAATGGGTAATATTGTTGACTTTATTGTTCTCGTAATTCTGATATTTTCAATCTTTGAGAAATTCATGAAAAAATACAGTAATCCGAGAAAAGAAACTAGACTTAACAAGTAATCCGTTGTAGTTTCATTTAATAAACAAAACATGTGATTTTATGAATTGGAAACTGGTAAATAGTTATCTAATCTTAATGAGAATTGAAATGAAATGAGATTACGGTAGATCTAGATCTTTTAAACTAATTGAATAAGGTAAAAACAACATCATCCTAAAGCAAACAAACTATTTTTGAGTCGAAATCAGTAACTAGAAAAAAATCAGAATCAAATGATGTAGCTGTTGCTCGAGAACATAATATGATTTGTTTTGTACTAAAGCCATCAATAGGATTGAGATCTAATTGATGAATGAACTCAAGACACATATTTTCAGCTTCCTAATCTCTCTTCTCACATCAAAACATACCAACAACTCCACTGGCTGATGTCTGCTTGAGTGGAAGTTTCACGAAGCAATCATGAAGTGACAAATTGTGTCGAATCGAGTTTTGCCATCCCCATTGATCCGGTCGCAATCGGTAGTATGGATGGAGGACTCGGATCACCTGGAATTACAAGTTTAGCCAATCTAGCTTAACATTTCTTATAGCTTCAACTCTCCTCTTTGTTTAGTTCTTCTCTATAAACTCTAACCATCAATGTTTATTTTCTGAAGTCCCCGAGTCTTTTCTGTGCTTCTTTCTGCTCAACGTGTGAGGTTGCTGAGGGGAAAAGCTCGCAACTATTCGCTTTTTCGTTTTTTCTCATGTTTTCAATTCTCTCACCTCATTTACCTTTCCCAAAAGAGAACGCGAGAATTCTCTCTTCAACTCAAATTCCGTTGGAAGGGTAATGAGGTGCGAAGGAATAGAAAAAATGGATTCAGATGAAAAGGGAAAATAGATTCAAAGGGTCCAAAAGAAGAAAAATAGATTGAGATCAAAGGGAAAAAGAGATCTAAAGGTTTAAAAGAAGAAAAAGAGATCTAAAGCATCAAAAGAAGAAAAAGAAAAAGAGATCTAAAGCTTTAAAAGAAGAAAAAAAACGCCTCGTTTTTCCACGCGAGTTCTCCTTTCAAATAATGGCACATGAGGAAGCCGGGAATAGGTTTAAGAGAAAAATTCTTTAGCCAATTCTTTAGCCAAAAGATATTTCTTTTAAGAAAAAAAGTTGAATTGGACCTTTTGACGAATTTTGGATAGATGAAATTAACTCCAAAATCTGTATTTCTTTCTTTTCATAGACTTTTTACAGCCTTTCATTCTAACCAACAAATTGCTTTATTCCACAAATGCTTTTCGAGCTCATCTAATCTCACAAAAAATCTTCGCAATTCAAGAATAACTTTTCATAGGCAATATATCTGAAAGCTTTTCTCATATTTCCAATATTTTTCCCTTCAGATTATCCCCTACAGCCAACGTCGTGGATTTTGATTGGATTAACGAGCTCGATTTTTGTTGTTAAACCGCTTGAAAGTTAAAATTAGAAATGGCCCCGAAAATGGGAAAGGTCACGAAAGTGTTGACCGTCTAACAAATACTTAAAAAATCTGGTGTTGAATTGTTTAAATTTTTGAACGCAAAACACTGAATGGAGATTGAGAGAAAGCTGAAAAGAAAGCTGAAAAGAAAGCTGAAAACAAAAGCCGAGAATCAACTTTGTGTCACTTTTGTTTCTGCAGCGAAAAATTCACTAAGCAACAAATTTTTCGCTAGATGTTTCCAGAAAGAAGCTGATCTTTGTTGACTTTTGAAAGATTGACAATCTTTGAACTGATTTTAAGACTCAGACTCTAGTAAAGATTCAATTTTTGTCTTTTCTTAAGTCTTAGTTGATAAAAAAGATTGTTGTTGACGAGTTGTTCATAAAAAGATTGTTGTTTAGATTGTTGTTCACTAGTTTATAAAGCAGATTGTTGTTTAGATTGTTGTTCATTAGTTTATAATGCAGATTGTTGTTTAGATTGTTGTTTAGATTGTTGTTCACTAGTTTATAATGCAGATTATTGTTTAGATTGTTGTTTAGATTGTTGTTTAGACTGTTGTTCACTAGTTTATAAAGTAGATTATTGCTTTTTTTCATCCCTAACTCTTCTAGGAACGTGTATTTGTTGCAAATCGAATGAAAGAGACCTGAGAGTGCTTTAGGATCAAAAAGAGAAGAAGATTTCATTCTAACAAAAGAAATACACACATTCAAAACCCGTTCCTTTCTAGAAAATGACGAGTGGGTAAAGAAGGAAAAAGGAAATCGAATAAAGCCTAGCTACCGGATGGGGTTGATCTATGGCTTCTCATAATTACGGTAGTTGTAGTTTGTTTCTAAAGAAGTTTGTTTCTGTTTCTGGGATTTCTTTGAAAAGTTCTACTCCCGGAAACCCTATAAGTTTTGCGCTAAAAAAAAAAAGAAAGATTTCTCAATCACTTCCCAACGGGTTTTCGATCGGAAATGATTTATTTGAGTTTCGTAAAGAAAAAGGCAAACTCGCATTCCCCATGACAAAACAAGCGCAATTCATTGACATTATTGGAAGGCAATGAAAAGGCATTGAAGATCATTTACAGTGAATGATAGAAAAGAGAGATAGAGACAAAGGAATGCGACAAAAAGGTATCAAGGAAAGAAGAGATTTTCTTTTTTCTCAAATACTGTGGGAACTTTCGGTTTCACACACAAATGGGCAAAGAGATAGCGTCGCTACCCACTTCTTTTCTTTCATTTCAAACCCCATTTTTCAATCGAATCGTCAATCTAACTAAAACTAAAGAGAAAAAACAATAAGTACGTCATTTAAATAATCACAAATTTATCGATTTTATCTCTACTTTTCTGTCAAAATTCTTTTTCTCAATTCTTTCTTTACTACTCTCTTCAAATGATTCCACCTTTTTCTATAAAAAAGGAAATCGGCTAGACATCCAGAGAAATACTTTATTATGATATCCCCGCAATATATCAATCATTTTTTAAATCAAAAATCCATACCTGATAGATTTCGTTGAGTTTAAGACGTTTTTCCGGACTGCTTTCGATAGCTTCAATTATGAGATCTTTGTACGAAAGAGATGGTCGTTCTAGATTCTCCAAACACATTCCTTTGTTAGGCTCAATCGGTGAGGTGACAGGAGAAGTGGCTGAGGTGGCTGGGGCTGAGGCGGCAAGTCCTTTATGCAGGTTTTCGAGGTTGGTGCTGGTGAGCGCGATTGGACTACAGGCGACTGGAAGAAGTGCCTCGATTGGTAGACGATCCATCTAAAGTAAAGAATTGTGAAAGAAAATAAGAAAAAAAAGAATTGTTTTTGGAAAGAAAATGACAATGACATTTGATAAAAAGTAAACCAACCAGTATATCGACTTTCTCGTCTGTTGTCGCGAGTTGTGCTGCTTGTTGCATATTCTCCATGATCTCAATCAAATTCTGCGTATTCCGCAACACCCCTGGCATCAAATCCATGTCTTTTGTAGGCTGAAAGCTTTCTTTTTTTCATATTTTCTCAATTCGAAACACTCTTATCAAGAAAGTGAACGGTTTGAGCTCAAAAAAAATGAATGCCACGCCAAATAAAAAAAAGGTATCTCAACACAGGGCACGGCCGAATTTGTTTGCTGAAAGGCCGTTGAAGAGAAAAAGAGAAACAAAGCATACATAACTGGCTGCTCACAAAAAAAAAACTAGTCACAAGGCAATGAAAAGATCTTTTGGGATAAATTTGAAGAGATTGGAAGTAAGAATGGAAATAACATGAGTAAACAAGCGTCTATTGAGTTGTTTTGGAGGTATTTGCAGAAAAAGCGTTTGAGCTTTCAAAACAGGTAAACATTTGGACAAAGATAAAGCCTTTATAAGCTAAACTACAAGCATAAAGTTAAAAAAGGCTTAGATTGAAGTGTGATTTGAGTATGGGTACAGTAGATTACTGTAGAATGTGGGATAAACATTTTAAAGCCGCAAAAGTGATGTATCAATACAAAATTTTAAGCTAGATTTGACAGGGCTACGATACTTGACTACTTAACTTACTACTTACGATACCTAACTACTTACGAGACTTATCTACTTACGAGACTTATCTACGTACGATATTTAACTACGTACGATACTTAACTACTTCACTTAACTACTTAACTTACTACTTACGATACCTAACTACTTACGAGACTTATCTACTTCACTTAACTACGTACAATACTTAACTACTGAACTTACTACCTACGAGACTTATCTACTTACGAGACTTAACTACATACGATATTTAACTACGTACGATACTTAACTACTTAACTTACTACTTACGATACTTAACTACTTACGAGACTTATCTACTTCACTTAACCACGTACGATACTTAACTACTGAACTTACTACTTACGATACTTAACTACTTATGAGACTTAACTGAACATGTCCAATCATCAGAAAGCTTGATCACAAAGCTCTTAACAAGTCCAATAACCATTCAAACAAGTACATAACATTTCTGTACAATTTACACCTTTTCAACCACCATTTCCTACATCAGAGAGCGCTCAAAATCAACAAATTAGATAAAAGAGAGAATGGATATGCACTATGTAAATGCAAATCCCGTTCCATGTAGGCTAATTTGTCGAAAGTCTTTCCCTCGGGAAGATTTCCCTCTTTCCACTTTTCTCAATCTTTCTCTCTCTCTCTCTGGACGTCACTCCTACAAAATTAACACCTGCATCGAAAAAGTTTCCATTTTTTTCCTATTTTTTCCTTTTATTCTTCTTCTTGAGAACTTTTCTTTAACCACAAATTAATATTTTTAAAAAACCACAAATTACAAGAAAACAATCATGATTAACGAGGAAATTTGATCTGAAAAAGTTTACAAAATGAAGACAAACATGAAAATGATGACTGAACTTGGTTTTAGAATTGATTTTTATTAAAAAAAGATTTGTTTTTAAGATCAAAAAGATTAAAAGATTGAAATCAGGAAATTCTTGTACTGTTTGATCAGTAAAGATTAATCAGATTCATTAAGAAAACACCTGTTTTGTAAAAAGAAAACATTGAAGAGTTCGGTAACATTTTATTACCGTAATTCACTTCTAATTGATCAAGAAAGAGAGAGAAAAAAACCTGAGAATCAGGTGTAAAAGCTGATCTTTGGGGTAGGCTAATTTCCGCAATGTTTTTTTTTGCGCAACAGGGTCGTTTCCGCAGTTCGACATAACTTTCTTCTAAGTGAGCCAATATTTATGATGTTGGTGTCATTTTGTTGCACTTATTGAGATCTACAAAATGACATCAAAATCATAAAGATTGGCTGACTTAAAAGAAAGTTATGGCGAGTTGCGCAAAAAATTTGGCGCAAAGTAGCCACCCCCGATACTGCTGAATCTACTATATACAAATAAAATAAAATTCTTTCCGTCTGTCCGTCTGTCACGCCTACGCGACAATACAAATTACGTTAACGTAAAATTATAACGAAGTGAGTTAGAAAGCTGAAAATTTGTTCAAATGATCCAGTTGCGCAAAAAAAAAATTGCGGAAATTAGCCTACCCCTAATCTTTGTTTTAATAAGAACTTAGAAATCCTATTTGAAACAAAAATGATTCCAGAATCCTAGCTTTGAAAGCTTTCCCTTCAAAAACAAGGAAATCCAGGAGGAAAACAAATTTCACGTCGCTGAAATGGAAAACGATGGAAATGGAATGTTTTCCATATTTTCTATTTAATCCGGTTGAAAATTTTTGAAAAGTTTTTTTGGGGAGGAACAGGGAAAAGGAAAAAGAGAAAAGGAAAAAGGAAAAAGAGAAAAGAAAGAGTTTGTGTTCAAAAAGCATTGCGAAACCATTATCGTGAAAAGAATGAAAAAAAAAGAGAGAATTTTGAGCTGACTGTTATGACAAGAGGGAGGTGCCACGCGCCCTCCGACCTCCAGTTTTTCTTTTCTTTTCAGCTCTCTCACACAAAAAAAGCAAACATAACTCAATGGAGCTTTTCTTTTGTAGATGCCAGGCTTTGTTTGTGTGCGTGAAGGGGGAATGTGTGCTTAAGATAAATTTTTGTAAAGGATTGGTGAGGTTGAGGGTAATTGTAGAGGCTTTGCTTGGATAAGAACCGGCTTCTTAGCAAACTGAGACTGAAAAATGGTAATAAATATTGGGATAAGAAAATACAGTAAACTTTGATCCTCAAGAAAGACAGGTGAAATGAAAAAAAAGCTAAAATTAGACTAACAAATCACAGAACTTGCTCAAAAAAAGCAATTTTTTTATTGTTTTATAATGGAAGTACGGTTTTTTTCCTTTTTTTTCTTACAATCAAAACAGGAATGTGAAAATAGAGATAGAGTGGGTTGCATGTGATTGAAACAAGGCCGATATTTGGGGGTGAAGAGTGAGGGGATCGATTTGAGATAAGGAGCGCTTTCGGGACGGCTGTCCCTTTTTCAAAAAAGAAAGACAATGCACTAGTTTCTCCGCAGAATAACAAACAAAAATATTTAAGCCAATTTCTTTGTCTTTTTCTTTGTCGAGTGCCAATGAAATTGGTCTCAATTTTCGGCTGTTATCAGTGTTGAACCCTGCCGATTTTCTGGAGAGTCGAAAATATTCATGATTTGTGTTGTTTCTTCAAAACTGACTGTGGAATTGTAAACGGAAAGATTAAGAATAGAAATGGATGTTTAAGAGAAAGCTAGAATAGCTAGAATAGCTTTCGATTAGATCTTTTGAAGATCTTCTAAAGATTTCTGAAGATTTCTAAAGATCTTCTGTTGTACTCTTTTGGAAAGAGGACTTAAAAACTTCAAAAATCAATGATCATTCTTTAGGGTTTAATTAGCAAAAGATCTTAAGACCAAAGAGTAATGCATAATAAGAATAAAGTACTACTTGATTTTAGATAAATTTAAAACAAAGTACATCTGAAATTTTGAGATCAAAAAGCTTGAAGAGATAAAGTTAGCAAAGATAGCAGCAAGGAGACAGTTTTAGCTAGCGTACCTACCTACTCTTCCTTTCAAAAATGAGCTCATAAATCGAATTTTACAAACGCCACGAGAAAAGACAGAGAAATGAACCCAAAAAATGACTATTTTCCGGAAAATAGATAAACGGCAACATCGCCTGGAAATGAGGCCAGAAAAAACGAAAAACTGAAAGAGAAAGGGAAGAAGAAGAAGAAGAAGAAGAAGAAGACGAAAAAGAAAAGTGGAAAATGAAAGAAGGTTAAAAAAATGGGAAAAGGGGGAAGAGAGGGGGGAAATCGGGGAGTGGAGAAAAGGGGAAGGGAGGGGTGGGAACGCGAGATCGAGAGCCCAGGCCCTGCCCCTCCTCTCTTTTCCTCCAAAAAATAGCTGCCCCAGCTCTCTTTTCCCCCATTTTTTCTTTTCTATGTCGCAGTTTTGTGTGTATATGTGTGTGTGAAAGAGAGTCAGTGCCGCAAAAGAACGAAAATCGACCGCGACTCTGAAAAAAAAAACATGCCAAAGCCATCGAGCCGATTAAAAAAAATAGCTCCCCATAGATCTTTTTTCTCTCTTTTTCACAATTCGACTCTTATTATTGTTTCTCATTTGTCGAAAAATGAGCCGAATTGTTTCGAGAAAAATGAAAAATTTCTGTTTCTTCGTGATTTGTCATTCTCATAACCAGGGGAAAGTCATAAAAAGTGTCAAAACAAAATTGTTTTGTCAGAAAATGTCGAGGAAAGAATTCTGATAAAGTTGTTTCGTAAAAACTGGAATTTAGAGGGAAGTTGAGTCATGGGAAAGAGCTTCAGATTCAGTCTGAGTTCCTTTTTGTTGTCTTGGGAAGACAACAAAGAAAAATGGGGGATTTGATTGTGAAAGAGAGAATGAACGACCTCTATCACAAAGAATTCAACAAACCAAAGCAACAGCTGCTTTCGTTTTTGAGAAAACGAAAGAAAACAAGAAGGTAGTGACTGCAAAGAAGGGCGCTTTGGGTTTGAAGAATTTTCAGGTGAAAAAAGCTTACAGTACCCAGTCAAGATGAGACTACAGTATCCTAAGCAAGATTAATACCTTAGTGACGGGCTACAGCACCCAGTAGAAGGCTACAGTACCCAGTAGAAGGCTACAGTACCCAGTAGAAGGCTACAGTACCCAGTAGAAGACTACAGTACTCGAGTGACAAGCTACAGTAGTTCAACCACAAGCCACAGTATCCAAATGACAGACTACAGTACCCCAGTACGGCAAGTTACCTGAAATAGTTAATGTATCACTAACTGGAAACTTCCGAAGATAATATAAAAACTCTTAAAGAACTCGAGTTGTCTATTAGTCAAACTAAAGCCTAAATACACACAAACACAATTTCGAACAGCAGACAGCCGCAAAAAATTGGAACCAAGGAGAATCTCAAACGAATGAACGAAAGCAACTGTTGCATTCTCGTGAGTTCAACTTTTTTTCTCCTAAACAAAACAAAAACGTTTCGTGTTTTGTCGT